TTTAACTTTTTTTTTCTTCAACCCTTGCCGCATTGATCTCTTTATATTTACTCATTTTTTGGCCTTTTTCTTCAAGGAATTTGATCACATTTGTTTTTTTGTCTGAATATTCTCTGAAGTTCTCATTTTGGTTAAAGTTTCTTACTATGTTTTGGTAACCATCCTCACTTGTCCTGTGTGAGATCTTTGGATGCTGTTTCCATTGTGATGAGGGCTTGTGTGTAAGCTGCTATCATGTCTTCATTGTTGAATCTTGAGATGAGCTCTTTTTTAACATGACGGTGTTGTGTACGTGAAGCTTGCTATGAGGACTTGAAGTTCAACAAAAAAAGATAGAGTTGTTGTGTAGAAAAGAGGGAGTGTTTTACAACTTTAATTATCTTGCTTTGTATTTGAACTCATAAGTATTTTATAGTGAATTTGCTTCCTCTAGACGTGGTCCCATGGATGTAGGCCTAATGTCGAACCATGTAAAAATGAGCGTGTTCTTTACTTGTTTTGATGTATGTTTTAATTAAGTTTTTTACAACTCATTTATACTAAAAATTGAACAAACAACTCATTCCGCATAAATTTTAAACACTTGGTAATCCTTTAAAACTTTCAATTGACACTATTGTTGCCCCTTATGAAACAGTAATTATTAGCGTCTGTCTCTACCGAGTTGCAATTAAAGGGAAGCAGTGCAGCCGAAATGTCTTTCACAAGAGGAGGGCAATGATAATACAGCGTTAATTTTCTGTATCGGAAATATAATTAAAGAAGCGTTTAAGGGACAAATGTCATTCCAGTAATCTTGTATAACAACTGTGAGACTCCGAGAAGCATTATTGATGTCAAGCACTACGTAGGTTCTCTCCATGATTGTAATCTCTGCGATCACGCCTTCGCAGTGCAACTCATGACCCGGTTGCCCATAATACTCTGGCCTACTCATTCCCCAGAAAGGATATTTAATATTCTCCAAGTTTGCACAGTGAAATGGGGCGCTGAAGTTTATATATTTCGCATCACTGGCTAGTAGTCCTAATACTAATTGCTGTTGAAAATGAATCATGACCAATTAGGTTTTAATTTGAGTTTAACAATGTCGAGTTAATTTAATAAATCTGATACGATGCACCAAGTGCACTAATCGGATTTATAGGCATTTTTTTTTTAAATACTAGATATATAAAGATTCTTATAAAAAAGTCTTTGTACAAAGTGGTGTGGTAACTAGTTTCACATCAATCTTCTCCTTCTTTTTACAAATTAGTGATGTGACAGTTGTCATATCACTTTAGACAAACACTCTTTGTAAGAATTTTTATACATCTAGCATTTCTCTTAATTTTTACTCCAACCACTATTTAATTGACCTGAGTGCTGAGTCCTTCTCGCTAAGATAAAGTAACCCAAGCTTAGGCCTGATGGCGGGGTAACCAAGGCATAGCCATCCAGAAAACGAGCCCAATTTAAGGACTAATGGGCTTACCCCTCTAACTAGTCCTCATAGATGGACTGAAGTGAACCAGAACCAGAATAAAGAATAATAAGAATAATTTGCTTGCATCTACAAAATTCTAAAAATAAATATAATTTCATGGTCATTTTATGTACTTAGTATTATCTACAACCGTAAAAGATGATGTATCAACTAAATAAGTATATAAATTTTCAGTATGATTAAATATTGTCCGCTTGAGGAATAACAACTTTCATAATTTCCTTATATTGTTAGAGATTCTGAGAATACATAGCCCATAACTCTCTCTAACCAGGGGCCATCTGGGCTTTCTGATGTCCAACTCTCACCTTTTTCATCTTATCTTTTCTATTTTATGTTATGTATCGTGAATCTTATTTTTACGTCTTTGTGAAAGTTATCGCTAGTAAAAGATACTCAAAGAAGAGCACTCAAGTTTTTACTAGTAAAAGATACACAAAATGATCTCCCAAGAGGAAGATTCAACATAGTTTCCCAAGTTTGAGTCCCCTCAAAGTTAAAAAAATAAGAGGATGATCTAACATGATTTTGCTAGTTCGAGTTTCCACGGTTACTAATAGGAGTGATCACTATAAATCCTACTCAGTCGATAGTTCTACAGTCTTGGGGGATTAGTTGAAGTACGCGTAAGCTGACCCAAACACAACCGATCATCAAAAAAAGAAGAAGAAAAAAAAAAAAATATACAAAATATATGATACAAATTTTTCAAAGAGTGAAAATATTTATATTAACTCATTAAATAAAAATAAATGATATATCAATTAAAAGATAATACCATATCATGATATATGTTGCACTTTGTTACTAGTCAAATAGACAGGAGTCTTTTTGTGTGATGCATTACTCATGTTGATGATGTAGGAGAAGAATGTTGAGGTGATCTTGTTGGAGAAGACAAATAAGGTTTTGGTGGAACCTCCAAGTTTTCTAGGCTACCTTCCAACATTTCTACAACTTTGGTCATCGGTGGTCTATTAGATGGATTGGTTTGAATGCACCACAAGCCCACTAATATCATCTTTTTCACAATCTCTTTTTCTTCATCAGGGACAACCCCATGAAGTTCGAGATCCTTTCCAGATTCAACACACTTGTGTATCCAATGTGGAAAATATATTTGACTAGTATGAGACACTCCAACATCAATGTTTTTTCTCCCTCCAATCATTTCAAGAACCATCATTCCATAACTATAGACATCAGACTTGTGAGAGACTTCTCCGAAATTTCGACAAAATACTTCCGGTGCAATATATCCTACAGTTCCTCTAGCATCAGACATTGATATGATACTCTCTTTTGTGTTGGATTGTTTAGCAAGCCCAAAATCAGATATCTTTGGACAAAAGTCTTCATCTAAGAGAATGTTGTGAGGTTTTATATCAAAATGCACAATCCTTATATTACATCTTCGGTGTAAATACTCTAATCCTCTAGCAATTCCAACTACAATATGAGACATTGTTTCCCATTCCAACTTGCAGTTAACACTTGAAGGTTCGTTATCATAAATGAATTTGTCTAGAGATCCATTAGACATAAATTCATAAATAAGAGCTCTTTTCTTCTTCTCATAACAAAAACCTAAAAAAGCAACTATATTAACATGAGATGTTCTACTGATGCTAGCGACCTCATTGATAAATTCCTCCCCATTACCCTTAGATTCCTTCAATACCTTCACTGCAACACGATGACCATCTGATAACATTCCTTTGTAGACATCACCGAAGCCTCCTTGACCAAGTTTATCCTTGAATGATATTGTCATCTTTTTAACATCATAAAAACTATATCTATGTGGAGCGAGAAAACCGTAATTTCTAACAAAGGCCTGTACGGTTTTATCATTCTCTGTTTTCTTCTTAAAAAATCGTCCTCTACCAACAATGAGAAGAATGCAGAGGATCATTACTACCCCCAATCCCACCACACATGATGCAACTGCTACGCCAATGACTAAAGATTTCTTTTTCCTTCCATCTGTCAAGAGATCCAGAAATGTCAGCGAACACGAGTGAAGTTGTAATTGGATACATTAAGTCAAGACCATCTTATTTCAATATAAAATATCTTCATTGGAAATGATCATATACATTAAGTCCACATATTTTGACTACCAAAACGGGAAAGAAGGTGCAGGTGAATTTCATTGTAAGATTTGTAGAAATCTAAATGAAAGCATGTCTCACAGTAGTAATCTGCCAAAAAATGTATTCAAATTTATTAATTAGAGGCCATTGACAAACCAAAAAGTCAAGACAACATTTTATGAACAGAGTAGCAATCAAGACAGTCTCCGTTACAGGCCACAAATCATCAAGAAAACTAAGTTAGTCTTTTCAATTAATACTGAATCCGGGAGTCATGAAAATATTAATATTCCATAGTTTGTAAATAAGTGTTTGCAGAGCTTTTGTACAAGGGAAAGCTTTTCCAGCTCAGAAACTGAAACTATTGGAGCCCTGGTACCTGCAATCTATTCTATGTATTTCTTGAGAATTGAAATGGCTGTTATTAAATTTTCTGCCGAAACTGATGACTGTATTAGTGTATTACAGTTTCAAATTTTTGCGAGCTCATCTTTAGAGATCAGCTTTATTCCACGAACTAAAATGAACGAACATGAAACAGAAATTGGTCTAGAGCTCAGCTCATATGAGAAGCTTGCTTTTGTTAGCCAACAATGGTGCCACTAAAATTTGAACAGGACAAGAACAGAGACTTTATAGACAAATAGGACAAGAAATTGCCATTGACTATTGACAAATTCTTTAATAAGATATCAGAACTTTTGTTCTCACTGGACCCTAATCTCCACGTCAATGAAAATATAGTAACTATATCACAATAGGCTGCCAACAATAACAAACCAATACCTAACGGCTAACAGCTAAGATATTTATTATATACCTTTTTACTTGAGTGCCACTACATTTACATTATAGTGTTAGCAGTATTTGTTTGACAGTTTCCCTTAACTTGATTTCCTCTTGGTCAACGAAGGTCACCATTGATATGACCACATAATACATGTTTGATCTGGAGTACTAAAATATGTTTAGTTGCAGAGTAATTTAAAAGTAGACGCCTCATTTTGAAGCATAGTTTGTAGTTTTGGTGTTAAAAAATAAAAAGCACAAACCGCATCAGTCTAGTTGGAGTTATCTATAATGAGACGTCGACGGAAAGAGCTGCTATGAATTCAGAGGCCTAAAACAACAGGCAGAGGATTGCTGGATAACACTCTCAGTGAGAAAAAGAGAACTTTGAGGATTGGCTTTTAAGAGTTTTAGAGGGCAAAGAACACGTAAATGGAAAACAAAACGTCCAGTCTTCTAGTTTTTTTTCTGGATTTGGTGGAAAGCGTCAACACTTTGAACAAAAGGGAGATTTTTCGACAATCTAAAGTTGATAAAACTTTGATTAGTGCCCGGAATCAAGTTTCAAGTTTCTGCTCATCTGAACTTGGGTCTGTCTAAAAGCAAATACCCCTAACTCCACAAAATTAAGGAAACTCAGTGATGCACAAGTAATGAATAAAGGGATGAGATGTACCTTTCTGGGGACAAGTCAAGGAATAAGGCATATCAGGACAGTAACAAGTGAATTCATCAGTATCAGTGTCAAATCCAGAGAGTCCACCCGAGCCTTTACATTTGTCACATAAGGTATTATTTGCGTAGCATTGCAAATCAAAACCCTCTTTAAGAGCTTTACTGACATTTGCCGAAGCTGGATATCTCTTCAAGAACAGAAATGCTGACTGTCTTACCGGAATAGTAACGTTGGTACCACAATTTTCGAAGTAATTGCTAATGGTATATAAGATGTTACTATTGAACCTATCGTTGCCCCATATGAAATAGTAATTATTGGTGTCTGTCTCTTCCGAGCTGCAATTAAACTTAAAGGGGAGCAGCGCGGCCGAAATGTCTTTCACAGGAGGAGGGCAGTGATAATACAGCGTTATATTTTCTGTATCGGAAGTATAATTAAAGAAGCTGGAATTTATAGTGCCGTTGACAAGGTTTGAGGGACAAATATCATTCCAGTAATCCTCTACAACTACTGTGAGAGTGCCGGAAGAGCTATTGATATGAAGCACTCTGTAGCTTCTCTCCATGATACTAATCTCTGCAACCTCGCCTTCGCAGTCCAAATGATAACTCGGGTGCCCACAGTACTCTGGCCTACTCGCTCCCCAGAAAGGATATTCAATATTTTCCAAGTTTGCACAGCGAAAAGGGGCGATACATTTTTCATATTTCGCATGAATGGCTGACACAGATGTTGGAACATGGACTAAGATGAAGGTTATGGTGATGGAGAATAAACAGAAGCTTGTAGAGAGATGAAGCGCCATGTTGAGAGACAGACAAGAGCGATGTGGAAGTTAATATTGATTTAAATTATAATAGAGCCAAATTGGTTCGCATTTCACATCTTTCCGTCATAGAAAATTACTTGTTGGACTTGACCAAGTAAGGTCTTTATTTTTCCTGACGGGAAGCTTCTGCGGTCCACCCAGTTTTGGTAGCCTAGAAAATTAAATATTTGAAATATCGACTCATATAAAATGATAGTTCCTCTGTATATTTCCAGGCGTAAGCTGAACGAAACCTCCTATATCTAGTTCTAGAATTTGAAATCAGGTGCGAAAACTTAAAGATTCTCAAATTCGATACTAGAACCCGTAAATGGACCTCAAAATCAAAAAGGACATCCGCGAACAGGTTTCAACCGTTAGGTATTTAAAGAAACTTATTTATACCCAACAGGGCAAAAACAAATGAATATCAATTGGCAAAAACCAGAGGAAAAAAAAAAAAAAAACATTTGAAGTGCCAAAGATAATATAAGGTCAGAGTTTCAAGATGAATCAATTAGAGGAAGCCCGTCAAGTTATAATAAAGGAGACAAACCTGCTGGAGGTCCTCGACTAGATGAACATTCAATTGCATTGGGTTGATCACGGCAAAAGCAAACGAATAGACTCTCCGTTGAGTTATATCCGCAAACCCCGCCAGACTTGACACGTGTTGCATTGGTCACTCCCTAAATTCCATTGCAATTCGAAACCTTCATCTAATGTAACGTTGATGGTATTTCTACGTTGGTCAAGTTCCTGAGCGGCTGTTTCAAGAACTGGAACAATGACACTGCTATCGCATCTTTCTATAAACGGGTCAACTGGGGCACTCTGGGTCGCATAGAAAACATCCATTCTAGTACCATTTACAGCACAATCAGGATAGACAATATACGACCCTCTGCCCGGCTCAGAGCGCAAAGCACAACCGTAGTATAGGGCCAGGTTCCTTTGTCCCGGGGCATAATTGAAGCGGGTGAAATCAAGGTAGTGTTGAAGAGATAAGCTGGACAAATAGTAGACCAGAAATCATCTCTAGCGACCTTAAGAGTCTGTGTGGTTGAATTAATGTCAAGAATTCGAAACGTATTCGATGTCATGTTGATCTTGGGAACACCATCTTGGCACTCTATCTGGAACCCCGGTTGACCACAGTAATCTGGATGGTTTACGCCCCAGAAAGGGTAGTTGATTTCTATGCTTTGGTCTCCACAGTACACAGGAAGACTGCAGTTTATGTATCGAATATCATCGGCGCATAAAGATGTTTGAGTATTGAAGATGAAAGTGAGGAAGAAGATGATGGAGAGATAATGAGGGTGCATCATTTGAGAGAAATTGAAGGAGGAAAGAGTAGGTAGATGATCCAAACAAGAGTATGGATAGACAACTATAAAAGCTGTGATGAAAGTGAAGGAAATTCCATTGCTCGTCTCATTATGAGAAGACATTGCAACGACTCTTAAAAAAACATGAAGCTCGATTTGGAATTAGTCCAGGGTGTTAGCTAATATTAAATAGGCTTAGATTATAATTAATCCTGAAATGTCTACATGCTATTGAAAATTTTATTAATTTGGCAGAGAATTTCACATCAACACCTGTACAGTTTCCAAATTGTCTTTCTCAAAACTCTGAAAATCATATGATTCACGATTTACTAATAAGAACGATTCCAACCTTCTACCATACAAGAAGTTATCAAGATATTCATCAACAAGTTCAACACATCTATTAGAGCAGTCCAACATCAGCTCGTCTCATGCAAATGCAGTAGCTCATGACGAACTGGTTGCCACGAGCAGCTCGTCTCATGCAAATGCAGCAGCTCGTGGCGAATTGGTTGCCACGAGCAGCTCGTCTCTTGCAAATGCAGTAGCTCGTGGCATCGTCAAAGACGTTGATATGCAGCCACATTCTATATCAGATGCACACACACATGATTATTGTTGAGGAAAATTACCAACTGGTCTTATTCATAGCTGAGGTGTCCTTGTACCATTATGTAAATTTACAGTTTGTTATGCTAGCTATACAGAAGTTGTTATGCTAGCTGTACATGAATTTTCTGGTTTGTTTTATTTTGTATTGTGTATAAAGCAGTGGCATCATGTAAAGTTTAATTCAATTCAATACAATCAATGCAATAGCATTTTCAACAACACTACTTTGTCCTTTTGTTATTTTCCTTGTTACTCTGACATGGTATCAAAGCAAGGTTCAGAGTAAAACCTTCTTTTTCAATGGCTGATGCTGCTTCCAAAAACGATGATGCTGCTTCCAAAAACGATGCTGCTTCCACAAACCTTTTCCTGGACTTTTCCAATCCCATCAATCCTTACAGACTCGATCATGGAGATAATCCATCGCTTCCCTTAGTCCATGACCTACTCACTTCCGAAAGCTATACTACTTAGTCAAGAGCCATGTGCAGGGCCCTTCGTGCCAAAAACAAACTCGGTTTTATTAATGACAACTTGTCTAAACCGAAATCAACCTCTGATCCTCTTTTTGATGCCTGGGAGCGTTGTAATGATCTGGTAGTTTCCTGGTTACATAACTCCATTAATCCCTCTCTCAAATCCAACATTGTTTAGGTTGATGATGCTGCTCAATTCTAGAAGGAACTTAAAGAATGATTCACTCAATCAAATGGTCATCGGATTTTTCAACTTAAAAAGGCATTAACAGATTTGACTCAAGACAATGATTATGTTTCTATTTATTTTGGTAAACTTAAGACTCTATGGGATGAGCTCCTTATGTATGATCTGTTACCTGACTGCTCTTGTGGCAAACTGGCTCTTCTTCTTGACCGATATCAAAGGGATTGTGTAATCCAATTTCTTATGGGCCTTAATGATTCATTCAATGCCACTCATGATCAGATTATGATCTTGGACCCCTTACCACCCATAAACAAAATATTTTCCATGGTTCAACAACAAGAACTGCAACATCTCATGGTTCCTAATCTCCCTTCTACTGAGTCTATGGCACTCGCTGCTAACCGACCTTACTTACCATACAGATCCTCACCTCAATCTTCCCAATCATCTAAACGAGACAGACCATTTTGCATGGGGCGAGCTGATGTTGGACTGCTCTAATACTCCCCCATTGCCAAGATTGTTACAGTCCGAACACTGCTTGCCTTAGCTGCCATTAAAGGATGGCATTTACAACAGTTTGACGTTAATAATGCATTTCTTCATGGAGATTTACATGAAGATATCTATATGAATAAGCCCCCCGGATATACTTGGTCAACCTGGACAAGTCTGTAAATTGCTCAAAAGTCTCTATGGCCTCAAGTAGGCCTCACGACAGTGGTATGATAAGTTCTCTCAATCTTTGATCAGTTTTGGTTTCAAGCAATCCAAGGCTGATTACAGCCTTTTTACATATATCACTGCCACTGATTTTACAGCACTACTTGTCTATGTCGATGACATAGTAATTGCTAGCAGCTCTCTTACCTCCATCTCTGTTCTTTGAAATTTTTTGAACACCCATTTTTGCATTAAAGATCTTGGTTCCCTGAGGTATTTCTTAGGCATTGAAGTGGCTCGATCTCCAACAGGAATTCATCTCTGCCAGCGAAAATACACACTAGATATCTTGGCTGATACTAGTAATCTTGCTTCCAAACCGCTCAAAATACCCATGGATCAGAACCACAAATTATCTAAAGCATCTGGCACCCCCTTGTCTGATCCCACCCCTTACCGCCAGCTAATTAGTAGACTTCTTTATCTTACTCTTAGCAAACCTGACATAAGCTATCACATTCAAGTCTTGAGTCAATACATGGATTGCCCTACCACTACTCATCTTGCTGCAGCTCATAAAGTGCTCCGTTATCTCCAGAATGCTCCTGGCCAAGGCATCCTCTTGTCTACTTCTTCTTTATTACAGCTCATTGGATACTCTGATTCAGACTGGGCATCCTGTCCTGATACTCGCAGGTCTTTAACTGGTTTTTGTGTTTTCTTGGGCCACTCTCTCATTTCTTGGAGGTCGAAGAAACATACTGTGGTATCTCGGTCCTCTGCTGAGGTCGAATACCAAGCCATGGCTTCTACATCTACTAAACTCACTTGGCTGTGGCAATTGTTGATTGATCTTGCCATTTCTCATCCTCAGTCAGCTGAGCTATTCTATGACAATCAAGTCGCCTTGCATATCGCATCTAATCTGGTGTTTCATGAACGGACAAAACACATTGAAGTGGATTGTCATCTTATATGGGATAAAATACAAGAAGGCACACTTTGGACTGCTCATGTTACTACACAGCTGTAGCTTGCTGATATGTTTACCAAGTCCTTGCCCTCTCATTTACTGTTCTCACATTTGTCCAAGATGGGAGTAGCTAATATCTACTCTCCATCTTGCGGGGGGGTATTAGAGCAGTCCAACATCAGCTCATCTCATGCAAACGCAGCAGCTCGTGGTGAACTGGTTGCCACAAGCAGCTCATCTCATGCAAATACAGCAGCTCGTGGTGAACTAGTTGCCACGAGCAGCTTGTCTCATGCAAATGTAGCAGCTCGTGGCATCCTCAAAGACGTTGATATGCGACCACATTCTATATCAGATGGACACACCTCACATGATTATTGTTGAGGAAAATTACCAACTGGTCTTATTCATAGCTGAGGTGTCCTTGTACCATTATGTAAATTTACAGTTTGTTTGCTAGCTGCACAGGAATTTTCTGGTTTGTTTCATTTTGTATCGTGTATAAAGCAGTGGCATCATGTACAGTTTAATTCAATTCAATATAATCAATGCAATAGCATTTTCAACAACACTACTTTGTCGTTTTGTTATTTTTCTTGTTACTCTGACAACATCAAACATACAAGAAGGGTTAATATATTTGTCAAATGGGGTTGATTTCTACCATTTAATGGATGTCATGTAGTCTATTAGGTATGCTACTGAAAATACGCAGAAAATAATTTACTAATAAGAACGATTCCAACCTT